CTTGTGTCCCGTTCAGCGTTCCGGAGGCTGGGAGCCACGCACCGCCCGGGCGCCCGAGGCACCGGTAATGTTGGGGGGGGACTCACTCAGACAATGAGACGCGGCCGCGCTAATGGCACTAACCGCAGCCGATGAGTGCATCCCCTCCCCCAGGTGCCGCGCCGGCCCCGGGCTGCCTGTGCCGCCCCGGCACGGCCCCGTCTCTCGCCCCGTGTGGGGCCGGGTCCCTGGGACGGGGCACGGCGGCGCCCGCCTGCTCCCCTCCTGCCCCGGCCCCAGCCCGCGCGGCACCTCGGGGACCCCACGCTTGCCAGTGTGATTGGGGCCTGCGTCCGATTGGGGTCCGTGGGGGGTGTGTGAGGGGCACAGCGCTGGGGCTTGGCCTCACCTCTCAGGGCAGCCGTCACCCTGGGGTTGGGCCCGTGGTGCCGTCACCCGGGGCTGCTGAGGACGGCAGCGAGGGGGCCAGGAGTGCGGTGCCGTGCTGGAAGCACCCCCGCAGAGCAGGGCAGGGCTGCCGCAGCCCGCTGCCCTCTAACGCTGCTCTCATTCCCCTCTCCTGCCCCAGCTGAGGATGCCCGAGAAAAGGCCGGCAGGAAGGCGGCGGAGGCAGGTGGGTGCTGGGGGAGAACTGGGGGGCTGGGGACACCTGGCAATGGGGGGCTGTGGGGGCTGCAGCGTGGCCGCCCACGTGGGCTGACCGCTGGCTCTTGGTGCTGCAGACCCTGCTGCGATCCAGGACAGCCACGGCTACCCGCCGGGACCCTTCCCACGCCAGGCGTCCCCCCAGGGTGCTCCCCACTTCCAGACCTCCCCGCTGCTGCACCCCCTCGTGGGGCAGCACATCCTCTCCGTCCGGCAGTTCTCCAAGGAGCAGGTGCCCAGGCTGGGGGCGGGTGCTGGTGCTGCGGGGCCGTGGGCACCTCCATGGGCGTGGGGGGGCTCAGTGCCACGGAGTGTGCCCCGCTGAGCCCCCCCTCCTTGCAGATGTCACATCTCTTCAACGTGGCGCACACCCTGCGCATGCTGGTGCAGAAGGAGCGGAGCCTGGACATCCTCAAGGTGAGTCGGGAGCGGGGCCGTGGGCGCCCCGTGCCCCCCACCACGCTCCCCGTGCTGACGCCGTGGCCCCGCAGGGCAAGGTGATGGCGTCGATGTTCTACGAGGCGAGCACGCGGACCAGCAGCTCCTTCGCCGCGGCCATGTGCCGCCTGGGCGGCTCCGTCGTGTCCTTCTCCGAGGCCACGTCCTCGGTGCAGAAGGGCGAGTCGCTGGCCGACTCGGTGCAGACCATGTGCTGCTACGCCGACGTGCTGGTGCTGCGGCACCCCCAGCCGGGCGCTGTCGAGGTGAGTGGGCCCGGGGGGCTGTGCCCTGCTCGGTGGGGCGGCACTGTGCCTTGTTCCCGCTGGGTGCAGGGGCAGGTCCTGCCCACGCTCAGCCTTGCCTGTGCCCCAGCTGGCTGCCAAGCACTGCCGCAAACCCGTGATCAATGCCGGGGACGGGGTGGGGGAGCACCCCACGCAGGCGCTGCTGGACATCTTCACCATCCGCGAGGAGCTGGGCACTGTCAATGGCATGACGGTGAGGTGCCGCGGGGCGGGGGGCTGCGGGCACGGGCCCCGGGGCGCCCCGGGTTGTGCTGACGGCTCCCCGCAGATCACCATGGTGGGCGACCTGAAGCACGGGCGCACGGTGCACTCCCTGGCCCGGCTGCTCACCCAGTACCGCGTCAACCTGCGCTACGTGACGCCCCCCAGCCTCCGCATGCCGGCCGACATCACCGCCTTCGTGGCCTCCAAGGGCATCAAGCAGGTGAGGAAGGGGGTACGGGGGGATGGGGGCGCGCCCCCTCCCGGCCCCGCTGACGGCGCTGCCCCCAGGAGGAGTTCGGGAGCATCGAGGAGGCGCTGCCGGACACCGACGTGCTCTACATGACCCGCATCCAGAAGGAGCGCTTCGAGTCTGCCGAGGAGTACGAGGCCGTGAGTGGGGGGCCTGGGGGGGGTGGGGGCAGGATGGTGGGGGGGCACGGGGCTGGCACTGAGGGGCTGTCCCCGCAGTGCTTCGGGCAGTTCGTGCTGACCCCGCACAGCATGACCAGGGCCAAGGAGAAGATGGTGGTGATGCACCCGCTGCCGCGCGTCAACGAGATCAGGTGCGGGGGGGTGGGAATGGGGCCGGGGGGGTGGGAATGGGGCTGGGGGGTCTCGGGGCTGGGGCCAGGGGGTCTCAAAGTGAGGGCCAGGCGGGACCAGGGGGCTCTCGGGGCTGGTGTTGGGTTGGTGCCAGGGGGGGTGGGGCTGGGGGAGGTGAGGAGGGGCTGGGGGTATTGGGGCTGGGGCCGGGGGGTCTCAGGGACAGGGGAGGGAGGAGGGTCTGGGGGCCGCAGGGGCTGTGAGGGGCTGGGGGGTTCCCGGCCCTGGTGGTGTCGGGCTGGAGCCGTGGGGGCTTGGGGCCCAGGCGGGGGGCTCTCGGGGCTGGGGCTGGGGCTGGGGGCTCTCGGAGCCGGGGGGTCCCGGTGCCGGTGCTGGGGGGTCCCTGGGGTCCCCGGGTGCCGGGGCGGGCCGGGGGCTCTGATCCCCGGGGGTTGTTTCTGGGGGGAACGCTTTTGGGGGGGCGCCGCCGGTGTCCCGGCCCGGCTCCCGGTGGTGACGTCATTTCCGCAGCGTGGAGGTGGACTCGGACCCGCGCGCCGCGTACTTCCGGCAGGCGGAGCAGGGCATGTACGTGCGCATGGCGCTGCTGGCCACGGTGCTGGGCCGCTACTGAGCAATAAACCACGCCCCCTGGCCACGCCCACCAACTGACTCCGCCCACTGCGTCTGACCCCGCCCCCTAAGTCATGGCCACGCCCCCGTGTCCTGGCCCCGCCCATCTCTCCGGGGGGGGGGGTCGGTCACGTGTCCGCCATGGCGCGGCGCTGGGGGCGGCTCCTGGCGGCGCGGGGCTGGGCCGGGGCCGCGCTCACCGCGGGTAAGGGCCGGGGGGGCCCCCCCGCACCGCCCCCCCCCCCCCTCCACGGGGACACAGGGACCGGGCAGGGGGGGCGGGGGGAGGGGCGGGGATGGCTGCCGGCAGTGGGGGGGGGCCGGGAGCCCCCGGGGCCGCTCCCTGCGCGCTGCTCCGCGCCCCCCCCGCACTGCGCACACGTGGTTCTGAGCCCCAAAATCCCCGTGAATTTCCCCAAAATCCCTTCACCCTCCCCAAAACCCCCTGTGAGCCCCCAACCCCCCTGTGCCCCCCCATGCCCCCCCAACCCTCCTCGAGCCCCCAAAAGCCCTGTCTGAGCCCCCCAAACCCCCCCGTGAGCCCCCCCAAAAGCCCTGCGACCCCCCCCAAGCCCCCCCCCAAATCCCCCCGTGACCCTGGGGTGCCCCCGCTGCCCCCTGCCACCCCCCCCGTCCCACCTCACCACTCCCCGAGGATGCTGGTGCCCCCCCCCCCCATCACTGTGCCCATGCCCACCCCCCGTGCGCCCCCCGTTATTGCTGTCCCTGTGCCGGGAGGCACCGCCAGGCCCCACGCAGCCCCCCTGAGCCCCCCGCCTTCCCCAGTGGGGCCTGTGCTGAACCCCCCGGGCAGCCCCCGACCCGGCTCCGGGGCTCTGGGGGGGTTCACCCAGCGCTCGGGGGGGCTGGCGGCCAAGGAGGGCTCCATCCTGGGGCTGAAGCTCGTCCCTGTCTGAGGACGGCCCAGGGCCCCCCCGTGCCACCGGACGCACCTCCTGCAGCCCCCCCTGCAGCCCCCCCTGCAGCCCCCTCGCCTCCCGCAGCCCGGCTGCCAGCAGAGCCCGGGCACGGCAGCAGCAGCACGTGCCCGGGGGGGTCACCTCCTGCCCCTGCCCGCCCCTGCCCGCGGAGCAGCCCCGCGCCCCCCCGCGCCCCGCCGTGCCCATGCGGCCTCCAGGCTGCCAGCAACGAGGCTCACCGGGGCCGCCGGCAGCGCGGCCTCATTAGGGTTGGGCACGCTCCAAGCGCTCGGGGGCAGCGCTCGGCCTGGCCGCCAGCCACCGCCGCCCCCCGCAGCACCGGGCAGGACCGCGGCTGCCTCCCGGGGGGAGCTGCGGGGTCAGCCCGGGGCTGCTCTCAGGTCTGGAGGGGCGCAGCGGGGGCGTCCAGCCCCGTGCTGCTGTGCCCTGCCTGGCCCCAGCGTTCCCTTGGGGTTGGGGTTGGGGTTAGGGTTAGGGTTAGGGTTGGGGTTAGGGTTGGGGTTGGGGTTGGGGTTGGGGTTGGGGTTAGGGTTGGGGTTAGGGTTGGGGTGCCCGGCGCTGCTGGGGCTCAGCCCAGCCGCCTGCAGGCAGTGCTGGATGTGCCCCTGCCCCAGCGGCAGTGAGCCCACGGTGCCAGGGCCCTGCTGCCCTCCTGGCCCCCTATGTGTGGGGTGGGTGCGTGGGGTCTGGGGGAGCAGCGCCTGTGGGGCTGGGGGGTGTTGGGTGCGCTGCTGCCTGAAGGGCCTGGGGCAGTCACGGGGAGGCTGTGGGGTCCCGGCACTCCCGGGGACACTTCTTGGGGCTCTGCTGTCCCCAGCGCCCTCAGCACACCGGGGTGAGGAGCTGCGTCTGGGGGCAGCGGTGTCGGGCACGGGGGGATGCTGGGGCTGCTGGCCCTGGAGCCGCGAGCTCGCTGTGCCCTGGGTTTCCAAGAAGGGAGCAGAAAGGCAGGGGGCTGGAGCCCTGCCTGGGAACTGTCTCGTCAGGAGCATTAGGAGCAAGTGGGGAGCCCGCAGAGGCTGGGGGAAGGAGCGCGGAGCCAAGGGAGTTGCGTCGAAGAGGTCAGGGGTGTGGGATGGGGCGGGGGCTGCCAAAAGCCCCGCTGGGCTGCACCCCGCAGGGCGCGCGGGGACACAGCAGCGCTCCTCACACCGATATGGAAACACGGCCCCGAGCCGTGCCAAGGGCCGGGGAGCTGCGAGGACCCGGCCCCGGGCCCAGCACCCGAGGGAAGGAGCGCTCGGAGGCCTCAGGGGCAGCACCCAGCACCCCGGGGCGCTGCCCCTGAGCCGTGCCGCTCGCAGGGGCCCTGATGGGAGCCGGGGACGTGATCGCGCAGCAGCTGGTGGAGCAGCGGGGGCTGCGCCAGCACCAGCCAAACGCACCCTGAAGATGATGGCCATCGGCTGCTGCTTCGTGGTGAGTGCCGGCACGGGGGGCTGGGGGCCCACGGCACGGACAGCGGGACGCAGCCCCTCACCCACCTCCCGCAGGGCCCCGTGGTGGGCGGGTGGTACAAGGTGCTGGACCGGCTCGTCCCGGGCGCCACGAAGGCTGTGGCTGTGAAGAAGATGGTCCTGGACCAGGTCAGTGCCTCAGCCCGGAGGGACCCGCGCCGCGGGGCTGCGGCAGGACGGTGCCTCCAGAAGCCTGGTGTCCCATCCCCTCCTTTACGGCTCGGTGCAGGGGGTAGCCCCCGGGAACGGGGCGAGCCGGGGCTGTTCCCTGCTGCCCAGTGCCCCGTGAGAGGCACACGGGTGGCTCCGTGCCCACCGGGGGCTGCCCTGTGCCGGTGCTGCTGGCAGGGCTCTGGTCCCTGCAGGGTCAGCCCTGGGCTCCGTCTCCTCTCTTACAGGGTGGGTTTGCACCGTGCTTCCTCGGCTGCTTCCTCGGCATCACGGGGGCCGTGAACGGTCTGTCTGTGGAGGAAAACTGGTCCAAGATCCAGCAGGTACGTGCTGCTTCCTGAGCAGTGTGCGGCTGGGACCTCTGCTGCTCTGCCTGCGGTGCTGTCCCCTGCACCGCTCCCTCCCAGCGCCGCCTGCCCCCAGCGGTGCCGCTGCGCCCCTGCCCCGATGGCCTGGGCCATGGCCCCTTGGTTCCCCTGGGCACAGCCCAGGGCTGGCTCCTGCAGGTGACCCAGTGGCCAGCAGTGGGGAGGTGGCCACCCGGGCCACCAGGGGTGCATGGGGCTGGTCCTGCCAGGCTCAGCACAGTGCCGGGACCCCAGAGGCGAGGGGTGCTGGGTGCTCCCCGTCCCCCGGGTGTGGGTGCCGGGGCTGCGGGGTGCCACGCGCTCCCTGCCCGCCGTCCTGGCTGTGCCTGCAGAGCCATTACGGAGATGGCTCCCATTAGCAGCGATTGCTGGAAACCAGCGCACGAGCTGAGTCAGCGCGGCCGGAGGGTGAGTCACCAGCACGCAGTGACCACCCCCCACGGGACGCGGCACGAGGGGGTGCTCGCCCGTCTGCCGGGGGCACAGCGCCGGTGCCGGGGCACACAGGTGGATGGGGACCCCTTCCCTGCAGGCTCTGGGCAGGGCCAGGTGCTGCCCTGTGCCGGGGCAGTCCCTGCAAGCTGTGGCTCCCCGCTGGTGCTTCAGCCTAGGAGGGAGCTGTGGGCTAGGGGACAGGCAGCGGTGGCTAGCAGCCACCTTCACCCCCAGCTTGGGGCGCATCCATCCCTCCCCACACAGAAGAAACGTCACCAGAGCATCCATCACCCCTGCGCCCGCTCTCCTCGTTCTGGGCTGCCGGCCAGTGCCGGGAGGAGGCCGGGCTCCCGGCTGAGTCATAGCCAGGCTGGGCAAGGGGACCGCTGCTGCTGCCATGGGGCAGGGCTGCGGCACGTCCGCGGGGACAGCAGCACGCTGCGCTCCCAGGGTGGCCACCCCGGTCCTCCCAGCCCAATCATCCCAGCCCAGTCCTCCCAGTTTGTGCCCCTCTCTGTCCCTGCCCGCTGCGCCTGGGAAGATGCTCATGGGATGCGGGGCTCGGCCGGGGCTCATGGCAGGTCTGTGCAAAGGGGAGGAAGGAGCCGTGCCCCGGGCCTGCTGCAGCCGTCCTGGTTCCCTCCTGCCCTCCTCGTGCTCGTCCTGCCTCACTCCTGCCCTGCATCTCCTGGGCAGACTGGCTTGTGGCAGCCTGGCCATGGCACCATGGTCCTCAGCTGCAGGATGGGCTCGTGGCGGGCACAGAGCACTTGTGGCCACCCCTTCCTGCCACCCCACTCAGCCCCAGCAGGCACGTCCCTTGGTACAGGGGGACTGGGGACCTGCCCAGTGCCCCCCTTGGGCAGGCACGGAGGTGGGGGTCAGAGCAGGGAACCCTGCATGGAGCCCTGCAGGCAGGGCTGCCGTGGCCGTGGGGTCGCTCTGCCCGCTCACGGCCTCCCTGTCTTCCCCAGGACTACGTGGACGCTCTGCTCACCAACTACTGCGTAAGTGCTGCCGTGAGGTGAAGGCCACCGCCGAGCCTCCCTGCCCCGGCTGCCGTGCTGGCTCTGCCCACCAGCAGGACAGGGCTGGGCTCCTCCGTGTCCCCAGCGGCCACCCCGTGCCCTGCCTGGGGGCTGCCCTGGGCTCAGGTGAATGCCCTGAGCACGGGCAGAGGCTGGCGGAGGGGGGCGTGGGGCTGGGGGCGCCTGGCCACGGCTGCTCACCCCCAATCCTCCTCCTCTGCCCAGATCTGGCCCCCGGTGCAGGTTGCCAACTTCTACTTCGTCCCCCTGAGCCACAGGTAGGAGCGCAGCCACGGCCCCAGCTCCAGGTCCCCGCGGCTGTGGCTGTTGATCCCGTCCCTTGTGCCCACAGGCTGGCGGTTGTCCAGTGCGTGGCCATCGTCTGGAACTGCTACCTGTCCTGGAAGGCAAACCGGCTGTGAGGGGAGGGTCCCGGGGCTGCCCCCGCTCCCCGTGTGCCGCCTGAGCGCTCCACCTCCAGGCTGTGACGTGGGGCTGGGGCGTGCAGGGCCCTGACCCCGCTCCCCTTGTGGGACCCCTCCTGCCTGCTGCTGCAGCCCTTGCTGCTGCTCTTGGGGGGGAGCGGGGAGCGGGTCTGGCCAGGGCCGGGGGCTGCTCCAGGGGCCGTGCGGGGCTCTGCCTGTTGGTGCCTTCCCCCATCCACGCTCCCTGCTCTGCCTGGCCCTGCCCCATGTGTGGGTTGTTTCCCCCTGGGGGCAGCTCTGTCCTTTTCCAGGGGTTGCTGGGGAAGGATGAGGGCTTGGAGCAGCACCGGCCTGGTGCAGACCCGGGGTGCAGCACCACGGCTGGGGCTCGGCTCTGCTCCGTGCCTCCCGACCCCAGCCCGTCTGTCCCAGCAGCCACAGCCCCGGCAGCCACCACTGCTGCTCCAGTTACACCTCCAGTGGGAATGGGATTTCTGTGCAGCTCTGCTCCTGCCAGCCGGAGCACCCAATAAACGGCGCTGTTCCCAGCTGATCCTTGTGACATGTGGGTTTGTGGATCCCGGTGGGCCCCTCATCCCTCTGTCCCACCAAGTGAGGCTTTGTCCTTGCAGCCGTGGTTTCAGACCAGGTCGTTGCGGTGCTTGCAGGGCCGCTGACAACGCCGCCCTCCCCTCTGTGAGGTGCCACCGGTCCCGCTGCGCTGCAGGACAGGGTGAGCTGCATGGAGGAGGCACCAGCCTTGTGTGTGCAACCAGCCAAGATCCTCGTGGGTTTTGCAGATACACCGTGCACTGAAAGGTGTGGGGAGGGCACGTGCTGAACGGGAGGGTGCAGGAAGGATTAGAAGGAGGTCTGGAGCTGGGGCTGTGATGGGGCCACATCCACACCCGGCTTGTCTGAGACGAGCCCGCTTGTCTGGGCAGCGAGGAGCCCCTCGGCTGCAGCCTGCCTGCGCTGCTGCCTCCCGGAGACACGTGCCTGTGCCCCTCCTGCACCACGCAGTGACCTGCACGGTCTGGCTTGCAGCTGCCCTGCCTGGCCCCCCCAGGGCACATCCCACCTGGGGTCTCAGAGCAGAGCTGATGGGGACGTGGCAGGGAACCTCGCCCCTGGCTGCAGCCCCAGCCCCTCGGCAGCCCTGCCTCAGCCCAGAGCAGCTGGAGGAGGCTGCTGCTCCCAGACTGAGCCTTACGCAGCTGCGTCTGGGGTCCCAGGAAGGACCCGGTGTGTTGGCAGGGAGCAAGCTGTGAGCATGGCACAAGTGGGGGTGGCTGTGCCTGGGAGCAGCCACCCCGAGGATCTGGGGCTGCTGGGGATTTGGGGGGCTCAGCTCAGCCCCTGCTGAGGGTTCTGCCCTCGAGCCACAGGGGAGGCAGCGCCAAGTTCCAGCCCTCCCACCAGCTGCCCATCGCTGGTGCTGCCTCGCCATGCACAGGGCCGCACAGCAGCCCCGTGTGGAACACGCTGTGCCCCCCTGGGGCCACGCAGCAGCCCCGTGTGGGATGTGCAGGGCCCTGGCCCGGCGGCGAGGTCCTGCGGGCAGTGGCGTGGCGCACCGGCAGCCACCTCACCGCTTGGCAGCTCGAGCGGTGCCCGGAGCTGGAACATCCTGCACGCAGCAGCCGCGCCGTGGGCTCGCGGTGCTCGGGCGCTATGAGTCACAGCTACTTGGCCACCGGCTCGTCCTCCGGTTCGGGCTGTCTGCAGCGCTTGGCCCGCGGCGTGCAGCGTGCCGGGACCCCAGCACCCGCCGGCGCTGCCAGCGGCACGGTGCCACCGACTGTCACCCACAGCTCGGCCACGCGTGCCCGCCCGGCGCTGGTGGGTGCCAGTGCCGTGGATTTGCCCCCCCAGCCCCGCAACCCCCCGATGCCCCCGGTGTCCCCCAGGAGCTGTCGCCGTGCGGCCGTCCCGGACACCGCCCGCGGGTCGGCTTGCTGTGGCCCCGGGCTCCTCGCCCGCCCCGGTGTCCCGGTGTCCCGGTGTCCCGGTGCCCCGGTGTCCCGGTGTCCCGGTGCCGCGGCCCAGCCCGCGCTGTCCCCGCCGCCGCCGTCCTTCAGCACCGCGGACAGCGGCACCGGGCTGGGGGCACGGCGGGAGGCGGACGGGGGACCGGGAGCCGTACCGGGGGCCGGGAGGTGGCGCGCCCGACGGGTGCCGGTTAGGGTTAGGGTTAGGGTTAGGGTTAGGGTTAGGGTTAGGGTTAGGGTTCCGGGATCACGGTCTCTGGGCCAGGGACCGGAGAGAGCTGGGCCTGACCGCTGCCGGGCTCCCCGCTCCCCGCCACGGGCCCGGTGCCCCTCCCGCCCCCGCCCCCCCTCCGGTCTGTGCGTGCCCGGTGCTGACGTCAGCCCGAGCTCCGGGACCTATATAAACCCCGGCCGCGCCGCCGGCTCAGCCCCCGCGGGACCGATCGTGCTCCACCGGCAGCGCAGCGGCAGGAGACCGGGGACAGCGCACCGGGTACGGGACGGTGCACGGGGCGGGGGACGGAGCGCGGCACAGGAGCGGCGCAGCGGGGACGGGACGGGACGGGACGGGGGTGCGGGGTAGCGCGGGGGGCTCGGGACGGGGCTTGGGGGGCACGGGGCGGTGCTGGAGCCGGGCAGGACGCAACGGGCAGGGACGGACCCCTGCGAGCCGGTCACCGCACTGCCGGTTGTGAGGCTCCCCTCGGGTCCCCCGGCTCCCGGGGCCGCCCCGGGGCTCCCGGCCCTCGCTGAGCCCCCGGCCCCGCAGGTGCGGACGGAGCCGAGGATGCGGCGGGCGCTGCTCACCCTCCTGCTGCTGCTCGCCCGCCCGCCGCCCGCCGCCGCCCGCCCCGCGCGCCCCGACGGCACCGTCGCGGGGGCCGCCGCGGGGGCCGGGGCCGGGGCCGAGGCGCGGGGCCGCCCGGTGTGGCCGCCGCTGGCGCTGCCGCCCCCGGAGCCGTGGCGGGCGCGGCGGGACGAGCCGCCGCCGCTCTCCATCGACCTCACCTTCCACCTCCTGCGGCACCTCCTGCTGCTCGCCCGCGCCCAGAGCCAGCGCGCCCAGGCCGACAGCAACCGCCTCATCCTCGACGCCGTGGGCCGCTGAGCGCTGCACCGGCACCGGGACCGCGACCGGGACTGGCACCGGCACCGAGCCCGCTGCGCCCGCCTCGGCCTCCGCTCCGGGGGCGCGTGGGTGCGGTGCCGGCCCCAGCACGGTCCCGGCCAGGCCCGCATGTGCTGTTTGGCCGGCACCGATTTTGTAATAAAACGTGGTGGAAACCCGAGGCTGAGCGAGTGCAGGACGGGGGGGCTCTGCCCGGGGCTCGCCGGGACCGGGGGGGTGAGGGGCTCGGGGCAGGCGGCGCCGAGCAGACAGGGACCGAGACAGGGGCTGCACATCACGGTGCCCCCCTGGGGGGGGGATGTGCCGTGCCCACGGGGGACGGATGGGATGGGACAGGACAGGATGGGATGGGGTGGGATGCTCACAGACCCTGAGACGTGAGGGAGCCGTGGGGGCAGGGGGTGCCCCGTGGCCAGCGAGCAGGGCACGGGGGTGCAGCACCCACATGCAGGCGGCTGGCGGTGTGTGCAGGGCGGGGGCTCCAGCTCATGGGCAGCAACACCCCTGAGCTGCCAGAGCTCCGCAGTGGGACAGCTCACGGGGCTGGGGGCTGTGACCAATGGACATGGCCGGTCAGGAGGAGCACGGACTCCCCGTGCAGGAACATCCCTGTGAGGGGCTCACCCCAGTGCAGGAACATCCCTGTGAGGGGCTCGCTCCTCCGTGGGACACACGGTGCTGGTGGGAGCTGGCGGGCTGGGACTGGAGCAGAGGACAGGGAGGTGTCCTGCTGGAGCGTCTCAGGTGCCCCAGTGATAAGGACATGGATGAAACGTTCCTGAGACAACTGGGAGAAGGTTTGGTGTCCTCAGGGGCAATGCTGGTCCTCACAGGGGCCTTGAACTTCCCTGAGAGCTGCTAGAAGAGCAGCACAGCAGGGCTCCAGCAGCGGTGGTTCCTTGGGAAGAACTGAGAGGGGCTGCACCAGCTGGGGCTGCCGTGAACCAGGGGAGGGCAGCACCCAGAGGGGGGAGGAAAGCTGACAGCAAGGCACAGCCCTGGGCTTCAGCCTGGTTAGCGAGCCGGTGGGCTCTGGTGGGAGGGGGCATAAGGGTGAAGGAGGTAAGGAAAGCTGAAAAGCCTTTCAGGAGAAGCTCAAGTGTGATCACTGGATGGCTGAGGTGGGAAGGGGCCTCTGGAGCTCATCTGCTCCAAACGCCTGTGCAGAACAAAGTCAGCCAGAGCAGGTTGCTCAGGGCCATGTCCATCGGGGCTTTGAAATGTGAAATTCCATCGGGACATAAGAAAACAAGAACTAGAAAACTGTACTGGGGGGAAGGGGGGGGGGGAAAAGAGAGAGGAAGAGAAAAAGCGAAGAAGAGAAAAAGAGAGGAAGAGAGAAAGAAAACTGTACTGGATGAGGTTTCCCAGAGATGTTGTGGTGTCTCAGCCCCTGAAGACGTTCCAAACCAGCCCAAACGCAGTCCTGGTCAGGCTGCTTCAGCCGGCCCCGTCTCCAGATGATCTCCAGGGATCATCCAGAGATGATGAGGCCCAGGTGATCTCCAGTGATCCGTATCAGAATCACCAACTATCTCCCCTATGAGGTAGGCTCACAGAATATCTGAAGTTGGAAGGGACCCACAAGGATCATCAAATCCAACTCCTGGCTCCAGGACCACCCAAAATCCAGACCTTACATCCGAGAGCGTTCTCCGAATGCTCTGTGACCTCCAGCAGCTCGGTGCCATGTCCACGTCCCTGGGCAGCCTGTGCCAGTGCCCGACCACCCTCTGGGTGCAGACCCTTTCCCTAACCCCCAGCCTGACCCTCCCCTGTCCCAGCTCCATGCCGTTCCCTCGGGTCCTGTCTCTGTCCCCAGAGAGCAGAGCTCAGCGCCTGCCCCTCCGCCCCCCTGTGAGGGAGCTGCAGGCCGCCATGAGGCCTCCCCTCGGCCTGCTCTGCTCGGGGCTGAACAAACCCAGGGACCCCAGCCGCTCCTCATACATCTTGCCCTCCTTTGGGCACTCTCAGCGTGTTAAGCCCTTTTTATACCACAGCACCCAAGCTGCACACAGTGCTCAAGGTGGGGCCACACCAGCACAGGACGCTCCTGTCCCTCCTAGCGGGGCCGTGCCCGAGGCCTCCTGGCTGCCGGGCACACCGCTTGGGCAGCTCGCTGTCCTCCAGACCCCCCAGGTCCCTCTCTGTGGGGGAAAGCTGGTGCACGCGAGGCACTCACGGGCAGGCAGCGGCATGGGGTGGGGGGAGCCCTGGGGCCAGAGCAGCGCCAATGGGACTGGGCCCCACCAGGGTCTGCGCTCACCAGGGGACACCCCACAGCCCCTCTGGCCCCAGGACAGTACCTCAGCATGCTCACAGGGAAAATACTTTTCCTTATATCCAGCGGGAATTTCCTAGCTCCCAACACGTGCTGCTGCCTCGTGTCCTGTCCCTGTGTCCCCCAAGGCTCTGCCTTCTCCAGTCCCGTTAGCTGGTTGAGAACGGCAGTCAGACCCCGTGTTACCTCCTCTTCTCATCTGTCACCTCCTCTTCTCCGAGCTGTGCAAACCTCAGCCTTCCCCATCAGTCACACTGCAGCCCCCAGCCACCTCAGTGGTCCCTGGGGCTGTGTGCGGGTGCCCATGTCTGCTGGCACTGGGGGTCCCAGCCCGCACTGCCCACCAGCCGGGCTCCCACTGCGGTGCATCCAGCGCTGTCCCCAGGCAGGTGCAGGGGGGGTGATGGAGGTGTCCCTGTGGTATCCCACCCCCAGGGACCAGATCAGCCCCACGAGGAGCCCCTGTCCCTGTGCATCATCTGTTGCACCAGCCGTGACGTGGGGCTGGGTGACGCAGCCCAGTGCTGTCACAGCCCCCCCGGGCAGCCCCTGGCAGCTGGGGGGGGGGGGCTCAGGCCCCGACCCGGCGCTAATTGCGGTGCTGCCGGCCGGCTGTGTGTTCAGCCAGCTCATCCCAGCTCTGTTTGTTCAGTGCACCCAGGGGACGGTGCTGCGAGACGGCGTCCGCCCCAGCGGGGTGGGGGGGGCTGCGTGGGCAGCTCAGTGGGGGGGGGGTCCTCGTCCCCAGGCATGGGTCTGCAGGCAGAGCCAAGCCCTGCATGCAGTGGGGCTGGGTAGGGGCAAAACCCCTGGCTGCAGCCCACCCCCACGCTGCCACAGTTGTGCTGCGCTGGGGCTCCCGGGGGCACAGTCCTTCATGGGGGGGTCCCACGCACCACTCGGGGTGGTGAGGCTGGCACAGAGCTGTGTGGGGCTGACAGCCCTGGCACCCACCGCAGCCCCACACACGGCACTGCAGACAGGATCCTCGTACACAGTTTAATGATGGATGGGGCAGCTCCAGCAGTGGGGACGTGCAGCAGTAGGGCTGTGGCTCACCAAGCAGCACCAGGGGCAGGGATGAGCTCGGTGCTGGAGCTGCCCTGTGGCACCAGCTCAGTGCTGACCTGTGCAGGAGAACAGCCGCTGTACCTGGAAAGGTGTGGACCACCCAACACCCCCACCCCCCCAGCCCTGTCCCTGTTCCCATCTGTGCTCAGGAGGTGCCTCCTCCACCCCACAGCACCCCGCAGCTTGTCCCTGTCCCCTGCTCCACACTGGCCTTGGTCCCGGGGAGGGTCTCACCATGTGGAGAGCTTGCTGGCTTCTGCCTCGGCCCCACATCTGTAGAGGGAAACCAGGTGACAAGCTGGAGGCAGGGACACCCTGGCACCCCGCAGGACCTGCTCAGGCCACGTCTCAGCCAGACGGGCACCACGGTGTCCTCAGCATGGCACAGAGCCCCTGCATGGCCAGGGCAGCCCCCTCGGGCCTCACTGCCCTGCATCCCCAGGGCCAAGCACAGCCTGGCACAGCACAGCCTGGCACAGCCTGGCACAGAGAGAACTCACCCTCAGCAGCCTCGGGTGCCTCCAGGCTGTCCAGCCGGTCCTCATCCGCCGCAGCCTCGCTGCCCTCCATGGGGCCGTCCCCCTCCTCCTCTCCCAGTGGCTCTGTGGGGCAGGGGCACACCTCAGCCTGGGACCCTCCCTCCCCGTGGTGTGAGCAGCACCGGGACACCGCGCTGGTGCAACGGGGACAGCCTGGCCCTCGTGCAGGATGCAGCAGCCCACACGTGGGGGGTGCAGAGGGCAGTGCCTGAGGGCCACACATCCCCATGTGTGTACAGGAGGGGACACCCCCACAGAGGGCTCCAGGTGCCAAGGAGCAGGGCTCTGCCCAGGGCAGTCCCATGCATGCCTCCCCCAGGCTGTGCTTGTCCCACTGCTGTCACCTGTCTGGAACTCGATGGTCCTCAGCATCTCTGCCACATAGTCCACATTGATGGAGAAGTGGTCCATGTTCTCGTAGCCAGGCTCTGGGCGGCTGCTCATCGACACCTTGGACATGTCTGTGATCCTGCAGGGCAGACGGATGCCCTCGGGAGCTGCCAGGCTCCAGCAACCACAGCCCCCTGCCCGGCCACTGCTCCATCCCCTCAGCCCCCAGCCCTGTGCCCCCAGCCCCACTTACTTCTTCAGGAGCTCCTTGGAGTGCTGTGGAGGAAAGCAGGGGGCCATCAGTGTCACTGGAGCAATGGCACCAGGGACCCTGGGAAGCAGGTGCCACCCCCTCCAGCCCCCAGGTTCTTTCAGGTGACTGCAGCACCCTCAGCACAGCTGTGAGAGGCAGCCCCAGCCCCACAGAGGATCCTGGCCCCATGGCTCCACCACCCAGCCCAGGGACAGCCCCAACCCCCTCGTGAGTCCTGGACCTGGCCCCCTGGCACAGCCCAACACCCCAGGGGCCCCTTTCCCCCGCGGACCTGCAGATACACTGCCATCTGGGGCTCCTCCATGGCCTGGATGGCTGTCTCCACCAGCTTGGAGGAAGCCTCCAGGTGGTCGCCGTACTGGCGGATGAGGCCCCGCACACGCTGCACTTTCTCCTCCTGCTCCCGCGCGATGCTCTGCAGCAGCTCCTTCTTCCTCTCCTCCAGGATGCTGTACAGCGAGTCGAAGCGCAGCCCCAGGTGCTGTTTCTGCCGCCGACCGTTCTCCTGCAGGACTGCCAGGCTCAGGGGGCTGCCCTGCTCCTGCCTCGTCCCCATCCCCAGGGCTGTGTGAGGCACCCGGGAACATCCCCTGGTTCCTTGGGCCCTCTGCCTTGGGGAGTCCCAGGGTGACTTGCAGGTGCTGCTGCTCACCAGGGAATTTCCCCCCCCCCCCCCCAGACCGTGCCCCCAGCACAGGCGTGCTGCTGCCCTGGGGCATCCTGGTGGGGCTGGGAGTAAGGGACGGAGCTGGGCAGAGCCCAGAGCATGGGGCTGGTGTGTGTGTAAGGGGAGCACATGCGAGGGGCAGAGCCCGCAGGCTGTGCCAGCCCCGGCCCCACCTCAATGGTCCGGCAGATCTCCTCCATCTGGGTGATGATGGCCTGGATGCGGTCGTTCCCTGCCACCAGCATGGCAATGCCATCGCTGAGCTCGCTCTGGGGTGAGACTGGCATGAGGGCCAGCGCGGGAGGCAGCACCTGGGCCCCCGCCAGGGCCACCCGGCCACCAGAGCTACCTTCTGGCGCTGGTAGACCGCGGGCAGCGGCGCAACCTCGCAGTCCTTGTGCGCCCCGAAGACCTTGCAGAGGGAGCAGGTGGGCGCCTCGCAGCGCAGGCAGTAGATGTTGATCCGCTCGTCCTCGTGCTCCTCGCACATCAGGTGCTGCTCCGCCTTGGCGTGCAGGGGCCTGCGGGAGGGGCCGCTGCCCACCGGGCCCCCACGGGCACCTCTGCCCCACTGCCCCCAGCCCCACACGGCACCGTCCTGCCCCCAGCCCTGTGCCCGCCTGCAGAACCCTCCCCCCCCCCCCGGGCTGCCTCTCACCCACGAGGCTCGCTCCCCCCGTGGCTCCGCAGTGTCCCCCGTGGGCTCCCCCCACAGCCCCTCTGCCCTCCCGGTGCCCCCCCCCCTCCCACCCGGGGGCCGCCCCCACCCCCGCGGGTTCCCCGTGCCGCACCTGGCCGACTCCTGCTTGTAGATGTCGATGATGTTCTCCACCAGCAGGTTCCGCTGCAGCCCGTACACCCCGTGCCGGTCCAGCACCACCTCGTGGCGGCACGACGGGCACCGGAACCGGCCGCCCGACGGCACCGCGCTGGAGCCCCGCGACTGCCACAGCGGGTTGGAGGCCTGCGGGCGGGGGGGTCACGGCCCCGCTCCGGACGCCGGGAGCCCCGCGGGGAGGCCCGGCCCGGGCACGGCGCCCCCCGGCCCCGGCAGACCCCCCCCGCCCCCCACCCCCGGCCCCGTCCGAGCCCCCCCCTCCCCCGGCCCGGTCCCGGCCGCGCCGCACCCCGCGGCCCCCGGCGGCACCTGGAAGACGTCGTTGGCGCACTTGCGGCACAGGTTGTGCTGGCAGGGCAGGATGACCACGGGCTTGGTGAACATCTCCAGGCAGATGGGGCAGATGAGCTGCTTCTCCAGGCTCTCCATGCTCCGCGCCTCCGCCAGCAGCGGCTTCAGCCCCACCGCGAAGTTCATCGCCGCGGTCCCGGCCCGGCCCTGCCCGGCCCGGCTCGGTTCGGCTCCGCGCCCCTCGGCCCCGCCGCCCGCTCTGCCCCGGCCCGGCCCCGCCGCCGCTGCGGCCCCGCTGAGCCCCGCGCTAATTTTAGCCGCCCCCGCCCCGCCGGGGCCGCCGCAGCTGTCGGCGGCGTCGGGTGACACTGAGTCACGGCCGGCGCCGGGCCCCGCGCCCCCCGCCCCGACACCGGGCTCCGCCGCGGGGGGCGCGCCCGGGGCGCCCCCGGCCCCGTCCCGCCGCCCCCGGGCAGGGTCTCGGCGCTGCGCCCCCCCGGCAGCTCGGTGCCCCCGGGAGCGGGGCGGCGGGGAAGCCGCTCCCGGAGCCCCCCGCCCCACGGGACCCCCCACAAGAAGGGGGCTGGGGCCTGCGCTGCAGAGCACGATGCTGCCCGGTGCCAGGCCCTGCCGGCGGGGGGGCAAGCGGAGCTGAGCTGGGGTCGCCCGGGCCCCACAGACCCGAGCACCAGGGTGGCAGCGCGCCCAGCAAGGCTGGTGCCAGGAGCAGCCCAGCCACTCTGCTATATTTAGGGGGTGAGGCAGGGCCCACGCGGCTGCAGGTGGGGGCTGCAGGCTGTGAGGCTGGGGGCTCCCTGGGCCCCCCGTCCCTCTCCTCCCCTCAGCAGAGCCACTGGTCCCCAGAGCCAGGGCAGGAGCGTGGCCGGGCACCCAGCCACCTGCCCGCGTGGGGCACGGGGCTGCAGGGCAGGAAAAGCACAGCTCCGCGGGAGCCAGCTGCCACAGGCAGCCCCGGGCAGGTGACAGGAGAGACTGAGTCACCCTGGCAAGAGCAGCGCTCCAGCAGTGTTTGGGACAGGACGTGCTACCCCACGCTCCTCCCAGCCCGCCCCCCCCCGGGACCCAGTGCTCTCCCCAGCACAGGGCAGAGGTGCACCCTGCCAGCGCTCAGGCTGCCCCGATGAAACACCACGCAAACACGCTCACATTATGTCATCCTTTCAAGTCCTTTAGTAGTGCCCATAAAATCTATTAAAACCCAAGGAAAGTGCCTGTACGGGGCCCAGCCCTGCAGGGAGCCTGCTAGCAGCAGGAGTGGGGTGCAGCCAGCGCCCCAGAGCCATGGCAGGGCAGAGAGGAAGGGGGTACAGCCGGCAGCACCCCAACCCCACGAGCAGCATTTGGCACCCAGCACCCATCAGAAGGGTCCCCGTGAGGGCAGGTAGTGGGCTGAGCCCAGCCCCAGAGGTTACAGTGCTAACGGTCTCGGACACAGCTACTTCTTGCAGGGTCGAGCCTGGCCCTAAGAGGTCTCCATGTGTGACTTCTTGGGCAGGCTGCTGGGAACACCGCAGCAGATGAGGCACTGCGGATGGGGTGCAGCAGCGAGGGCTCTGTCACCTCTGTCACCAGTGCTGGGAGACAGGGGCATTGCCCTGGCGCTCAAGCAAGGGCAGAAGAACCTCCGCGGTGATGCTGGCCAATTTAACCTGAGATTCTAGCCACCTTGAGGCTGGAGAGCTGCCCTAGGTGGCGTGACTGGGGTCCTGGAAAGTGACAGTCCCAAAGTAGGATCCCTGTCCGGAGTCCTGGGGGAGCCGGCAGGATGGAGGCCGGCCTCACGCCTCGGTCTTGGTGCTGACAGACGGCAGGGGCTGCGCACCAGCAGGCGGGGGCTGCGCCACAACCGGGACCTGTGGATCTGGAAGATGAGAGCTGCAGATCAGTGGCACAGCCTTGTCCCATGGCGCTGGGGAATGGGTACTCCGGACACCGCGGTGCCCTCGAGAAGTCTCCCACAGACCAAAGCTTACAAAGCCCCAGGCAGTGCACAACCACAACCGCTCCTGCAATCCCCACGGAACCCCGCAGGGTGACCCGGGGCAGCCCCTGCTGGCAGCGGCACAGCCAATGCCCGGAGAACGAGGCCAGGCTGGGGCACAGCTGCTGCCCCCAGCTCCCTGCCCAGCTGGGCAAGGGCCCTGCAGAGCCCGCAGGGGCCTCGGGGAGCCCTGACCCAGAGGAAAGCAAGGAGGGAGCTGCCCCACGAGCCGTGTGGTGCCCCTGCCCACCGTCACCCAGGTCCGCACGGGAAGCCCCACAAACGGCCGCTAACGGCAGAGCTGCTGAGCCCGGCCCAGCCTGGGGGCAGCGCTCCGTGCCCCCGGTGACACGGGACCCCCTCTGCCCGACTCACCGCTGTCCTCCGCGCCCATCTGCGCCTCCAGGTCCTTGGGGTCGATGTACTTGTAGGAGTCGTCCTCCTTGGGCGGGCAGCAGGTCCCGCAGCAGAAGAAGCAGCAGCAGCAGCAGCAGCAGCAGGTGAGCGCGCCGCAGCAGAGGGCCAGGGCCTGCGGGGGGGGACACGGGGCGGCCGTGAGACCCGGGGGGGGGCCGGGAGGCGTCGCAGCGTGCGGCACAGCCCCGGGCTCACCTGGAACCACCACTTGGACATGAGGAAGTAGTGGCGCACCGCATCGTCCCCGAACTGCTCGGCCACGTAGAGCCCCAGGGAGCCGTACTGGTCGTAGAGCCGCCGCTTGTCCTGGTCGCTGAGCGTGGCGTGGGCGCTGTTGATCTCCTTGAAGCGCTCGGCGGCCGCGGGGTCGTCGGGGTTCTTGTCGGGGTGGTAGCGCAGCGCCAGCCTCCTGCGGGGCGGCCGCGCTGGGACGGGGGAACCGGCCCCGACCCCCCGGCCTCCCCCCCTGGCCCCGGCCCCGGCCCCGGCCCCGACCGAGCCCCCCCGGCCGGCACCGTCCCCGCCGCCGGTCCGCCCGCCCTTCCCCGCCCCTGCCCCGTACCGGTAGGCCTTCTTGATGTCCTCGGGGGAGCTGCCCTTCTCCAGCCCCAGCACCCGGTACAGGCTCTCCCCGACCCGCGACAGCTTCCGCTGAGCCCGCCCCGGCTCCGCCATCGCGGCTCCGCGCCGGGCCCGGCGGGCACCGACCCGCGGGGGGGCTCCGACCCGGGGGGGGCTCCGACCGCGGGGCTGCGACCCGGGGCTCGTCCCGCCCGGTAACGGCCGCTTCCGCCCCGCCACCGCCCTGCGCAGGCGCGGCCCGGCCCCGGGAGCCGCCCGGTGGCCCCGCCACCCCCCCCCCGTGCCGCCCCCCCCGCCCTGGTCCCGCCCCGGTCCCGGTCCCGTCCCCGTCCCCTGCCCGCGGCGCGAGGCACGGGCGGTGGCGGCCGCGCTGCTCCTTTATTTCGGTACAAAACGAAGGCGGCCAGGCACAGGGGGGGCGGCAGCGAGGGGGGGGGGGGCAGGCCTCCAGCCCCGGGGCTGCCGCAGCGGCCGGCCGGGAGCCCCCCCCCCGCCCCCCAAACCGGGGGAAAAAACCTGAGCAAGGAGCGGGGCAGCGGCGGGGCTGCGTGGTCCCGGGGGGGGCTGGGCCCCCGCCGCCCGCGGGGCTGGAATGCGAAGGGGGAGCGGTGGGGTCCCAACCCCCCCCCCCCCAGGGACCGGGACCCCCCTGCCCCCAGCCCCCAGGCAGGGCGGCAGCGGAGTGTGGGGGAGCCGGGGGCTCCGCGGGAGCCCCCCATCCCTGATGGTTTTCAAGTAGCTGAGCGGCCCGCGGGGGGAGCCAGGCGGGCGGCTGCTCACAATAAATACAAATAAATACAGGGTCCAGCGACGCAGCCTGCCCGCGCGCAGCGAGGTCCCTGCAGGACCAGGCCCCCGACCCCTGCCTCTGGCGTGGCAGCTGGGGGCCGGGGCCGGCCGGCAGCAGAGGAGAGCCCCAGCTGCAGGGGGGCAGGGGCTGGGGGGGCTGCACCCCTCCCGGGGGCCGCCCAGCTCAGCAGTCCATGGCTTCGCTCTCACAGCAGGCAGGAGGGGCGTCGGTGCCGAAGTACCGGTCCCCGAAGTTACCTGAAGGAGATGGGGACAGAGCGAGGTGAGGGCAGGGCCCCGCGGCACTGCCAGGGGCTGCAGGGTAGGGGGCTGCCCCCATGGCCAGCACCACCCCCCCCTCACCGATGCCCTGGGATGATGTGGAACTCCTCATTGATCCTCTTGTCCACGGCGGTGGTGATGATGCGGACGCGAGGAAAGGCGTAAGCCACCGAGTGCACCCCCATCTCAGCCATCAGCAGCGACAGCAGGAAGATCCTGTCCTCCTGCACGTCGTGGTCCTGCGGCACAGAGCCGTGAGAGCCCAGGCCAGGGGTGGGCTGCGCGCCCTCAGCCCCGCTGCCCGGCCCCTCACCAGCAGCACGCGCACTGCCATCATGGCCGCGGCCCCCGTGGACACGGTGCTGTCCATGAGGATGACGTAGTCCTCGCTGATCTCCTTGGGCAGGCGCAGGTAGTGGAGCTGAGGGGACAGAGCTGCGGTCACCGGGCACGGCCCTGCCGGGGCTCGGTGCTGGGGCTGTGGGGTGCTCACCTCGGGCTCCCCGGTGTCGTGGTTGGTCTGGATCAGGATCTTGCCCAGGCGGATGTCCTTGCAGACGGCGGTCAGGGCCTGCTCCATGGTCTCCCCGGCTCTCAGTATGGACACGCCGGTGATCTGGGACGAGGCAGGGGGTCGCTGCCTTCAGTTGTGCAGAGAGCAGCAGCTCCGGCTGCTCCCACGCATCCTTCCCAGGGTGGGGGCAGGACTCGGCCCCTCTCTGCCCAGCAGACCCCACAGAGCAGCTCACACCCACGTTCTCTACCCCCGTCCTGCCTGCCCTTGCCCAGCTCTGCCGTGCCGCCGTGGCCCCAGCTCAGGGCCCAGACGCTCTCCAGAGGCTCTGCAGTTCCCGTGGAGCCCGACGGTGCTTGGGCACACACCGTGGGACGGGGACAGGCTGCCCGGGCAGCCCTGCAGCACGGCACCAGGCTGGGGGCAGCGGGATTTCCCAGTCAGTCCCCCACCAGGCACAGGGGCAGCTGCGTGCCCACAGGGAGGAGAGGGCCAGGACAACATCTCACCCGCTGCCTGTGGAATCGCTTCCCTTCGTACGTCGTCCCCTGGGGCGTCTCCACCGTAACCGACTGCAGAAAGGGGAGGTGAGCAGAGCGTGGGCAAAGCTGGCCCCTGAGGGCCCCAGCACGTAACTGGGACAGGGCTGCAGGCAAGGGGTGCTGGCGTACCTTCAGCGGCAGGAAGGAGAGGGCGTGCTCGATCAACAGCCTCA